ACCTAGCTCTGCCTTCTCTTTATCCTGAGATCAGGTAGTTACAGACAGCAGTAAGGTCTTCCCTTCATCTTCTCTAGGCTGAACAGACTCAGATCTCAGCCTCGCCCCGTATGCCACATTCCCCAACCGTGTTGGCGGCCCTCTGCTGGACTTGCTTCAGTTTGTCAGTAGTTTTTCTTTTATTGAGGAACCCAGAACTGGACACCACACTCCTGCTGTGGTCTCACAAGTGCTAGATAGAGGAGAAAGATCACTCCCTTTGTTCAGCTGGTTTCACTGTTACTAATACAAGCCAGGATGTGGTTGGCTGTCTTTGCCACAAAGACACACTGCTGAGTCTTGTTGAACGAAGTTACTCCATCCTAGGTGCAGGACATTGCATTTGCTTTTGATGAAGTTTATGAGGTTCCTGTCAGCCCATTTTTCCAGCCTTTGGAGGTTCCTCCGAATAGCAGACATGCCCTCCAGAGTGGGTGGGCAGATCCCCACCCCTAATTTGGTGTTGTCTGCAAACTTGCTGAAAGTGCACTCCATCAGATCATCCAGGCTGTTAGTAAAGAAGGGAAGCAGTATTGGCCCCAACATCACTAGCTGAGGGATACCTCTAGTGACTGACTGCCAGGTGGACATTGTACCACTGTTTCTAGCCCTTTGAGCCCAGTATTCTGGGCGATACTTGACCCACCTTACCATCCATCCTTGTCTTGCCAATTTGGCTATAAGGATGCTATGGGAGGTTGTGTCAAAGGCTAAAATCAAGGCAAACAACATCCAGTGCCCTCTCTTATCCACAGAGCCAGTCATCTCCTCATAGAAGCCAATTGCGTTAGTCAGGTATGATTTACACATGTTAAACCAATGATGGCTGTTCCCAATCACTTTCCTGACCTTCACGTACTTGGAAAATTCCTTTGTGGGAGATTTGTTCCATAATTTTCCCAGGCCTGATGTGAGGCTTGATGGCCTGTAGTTCCCCAGATTCCCCTTCTTGCCTTTCTTGAGGATCGGTGGGACGTTTGCCTTTTTCTGGCCACTGGGAACTTCTCCAATCCCCCTGACTTTTCAAAGGTGATAGACCTGTAATAGACAGGTGATAGGCCTGTGTCCATCCATTGCAGCACTCCAGTCAGGTAAGCTATCCCACCATGTCTCCATAATCTTAGAGATGTCACAGCTTTCCACTGTGCATGGACTTCTTCCTCCTGGTTGTACCCCATGCTGTGTATGTGTGCGTACTGGTGCCTGAGAGGAGGCCCAGTGAGGTTGCTTTTACAAGGGTAATGCAAGAGCCTTCGCCATCCTGTTGTCCCCCAGCTGCTTCCTCACTGCCTCCATGTCTTCACTTCCCTTCACAGCGTGACAACCCTTCCCCAACACACCTAATTTAAAACTTCCCACTGTATTAGTGAACCTGTTGGAAGAGATGCTCTTGCCCCAGTTTGCCAGGGGAATGCCATCCCTGCGCAGCAGTCCGTGTTCTTCAAAAAGGGTCCTGTGGTCATAGAAGCTGGAGCCCTGCTTGCAGCACCAGCCGTGCAGCGTCATGTTGACTGTGGGATGCATCTGCTGCCACCTGAGCAGTGAGTCCCCTTACTGGGAGGATTGAGGAGGTACCACCAGGGCCGCATCCCCCTCACTGTTATCTCAGGGCTGTCGGTCACCCTTGATACGATCAAGGTCACTCTGGTGGTACCATTGGTGCCCGCACGGATGAGCAGTCAGGGAACCTAATGTTTAGCATATGGCTATTCTGGAAAAGAAGAAGAAGAAAAAAAAAAAGGGAAGACAGCTTAGCAAATGAAAATATTAGCCAGTGCCTTTACTAAGGCTTGTTTTCATGGAGTTTGTAAATGGAAGACAAAAGGAACCCACTGCAATGGGTACGTTGTAGCCACTGCTGTCTTTGGTTGGAATCTTTCTCAGCAAAATGCAGTTGTTACAAGAAGCCATGAAAACCTGCGTGAGTGGGAATTCAACATTCTCAGCTCATTTTGTTTAACAAGGGACAGGAAACATGCCTGATGCCTTTTCTACATAGCTTGTCATTAGGACCCACTAGCAGGTGTGGGAATAAACTGGTCAACCTGGAAGTGTTTGAATTATCTCTGATCAAGAGCTGGTGGCACAAAAAATAATAGATGGAGAAGTGGTTGTTCTAAAGCTATTGACACATGTAAAAACACAACCATACAACAGCTATTAGTCTATGTGCTCTTGGGGAGGTCTTGGTCCTAGCCAAGGACTGAGCCAAGGCTACAAATTGTGCAGTAGTCTGTGCCTAGGGATGGAAAACCATGTATTTGTGTTGGAAGGACATAATGGAATAAGAAAATACAGACTAATTCAAATAATAACATATAAAAAGGAAAAGTAAGAAGTTGTAGGTCAGAAGTAGGAAAGAATTGCTGCTTTAAGGTAGTTTTTGGGTAAATATTGATCAGATATTGCTGATGATTGGTGGATCTTAATGCTATAAAAGGCACCTGAAACATTCAACATTTCTCAGGATTGTGCTGACACACCATGTTGCACTGTGGTCCTGCTGCAGTAAGGTGGTGTTGGTCCCTCTGAGGTCAGTGGTAGGAGGACCATGCCTTTAGTGCAAAGAGATGTTTAACATTCAGTGTTGACTTCTGCATGTGGACTGGAGTGAGCATTGGTAAAAATGGATCACAGTGGAAGCAGGGAAGACGGGAAATGTGTAATCAGTATTGTGGTCTGATAGCTGAGGGTCTTCATCTGCAGCTGCTCAACTGGCGTCTTATACATATAGTTCATGACAGCAGTGCCCAGCCAAGAACAGCGTTTCAAAGATTTATACCTAAGGTTGACTTTGCACTTTGAGAGGACTTGGAGTAAAAAGTGAAGCATATTCATAAGTCTTCTAAGGAACAAAGTTTAAACAAAATATTGTTAAATTTATGTGCAAGCAGCAAAAAAATACTCATGTTAGACAAAAAATTAAGATTTAAAGGTAGAAAAAAAATTAAGTTTTAAAGGGTAAAGAGGGCTTGTGGAGACAAAGAGAGGGAAATAGGTTTAGCAAGTTGCCGCCTGGTATGGAATGAAAGGAAAAAAAACTGAGCTGCAAACTCATCAAAAACACAGTTGTTAATTGAAAAGCTGACAGACCTGTAACTACAGCAGCGCTTCTGGCCGCCACTATAATAAATGTAACTGTACATTTAGAGTAATTTGCTAATTTGCCTAAGTAACACCCACAGACAGCAACATGACATAAATACATTAGTGGAAGCAACAACTATAACCAGCTCGTACAGGTTCTTGGCTGCTAGATGGATGGATCAGATGAGCTGGAAAAGATTTACAAAACAGAATAGAAATGGAATTGTTAACAATATTGCGGCATACAAGATTTCTTCATTTTCCTATTTCCCAAGAATGCTTTAAGGCCTGTAGATGCCTATACGTATTGTAGCATGTAAGTAACATTTTTACCTCGTGTGTACGTGTGCACGCACCTGGAAAACTTGTAGAGATGGAGTATACATCTGCAAAATGCTAAGCATTTCAGAAGCAAAAATGACAAAATTTACATCTCAAGTAGTCTTTCAGGTAAATAATTGAATCTGCAACATTCAGCATGTAATTATAAATATCTGAAAAGAGTTTCTGTTAATAAATATTCTAAAGGCACATGTGTATTGGGTCCACGGGAAAGACTGGAATCTGTACCATTTTCCTAATACAGGTGTTACAAGTGTCTGAAATGTCTACTTTGGAGTTGCCCAGATCTTTTCATTTGGCAAATAATGAGTTCAGCCATGTGGCATCTCCTCTGGGCTAGCACTGTTCTCCATCTTCTGTTTCCGTAACTCTGAATCATGCTATTGCATTTTATTCTTAAGTCCTACTCATGCCAACTTCTGCCACTGCATATTGACTGGTGCTTTACATTCTCTAAATATCCTACCTCTAGGTTAGGCTTTGGGACATCACTAAAGGTTTCTATGCTATCAACAATACATTTTTAAAATAAAAAAATGACAAGATTGCTGCTATGCAAGGTGGGTCTCATTTTCAAGAAAATATTTCTTTCTGCTCCCAATCTCCTGTTCTGACTGTCTTCATCCTGATGCAAATTAATAGTGCAGAAGCAAAGCTAATGAATGCAGCTTTACACAGTTTCTGTCTTTGCTTTTTGAGACAGGTGATGCCTGCTCTCAAGGGCAGAATCCAGTTGATAATCAAATGTGGAGTCAGGTGGAAAGTTTCTGTTGCAGCGCTGCTCTCAGGAAGAACCCACGTATGTGGGCATATATTTTTTTGGTTTTTCACTAAATACAGGTTGTAAAATATTCTTGAACATGAGTCACTTTAAATTATAGTTCATGGATCTAAGGAAGTCACTGAGAAAATGGAGCAGGAAAAAACATGGGATAGAGGCAAACTGTGAGACTTCTCTGTGGGATGTGGAGTTTTGACAGCTAAACCCAATCCCTGTCTTGCTTGAAGGCTCGATCTTAATGTCAGGGCAAAGGGGGCAGCAGACCCCTCTGGCTGACCCAAGTTTTGACTCTGTGAGACCTCCTCAGTACAAGCCGATAAAGACCACAGCTCTGGGAGAAGAGAGCTGACATTATTTTATGAAGCGTTACGGCTGATCTTTCTTGAACCCTAATTTCTGTCAAAGAGTTATCATCACTGTCACAGTAAGTGATACTTGCAGCACAAATGGCAATTAACTAGAAGTAAATAGTAGAGCAGAAGTCTGCAGACTGTTTTTTAAGGTTGATGAGTTGAAAGTAGTTTCAACACATTAATGCTAAGCGTGCTAAATCATAGTGTGCCCTGAAAAAGACAGTAATGTAATCTACCCGAAATCACCAGGAATTACACTAACACATAGTAGGGATATGCTCGATTGTTTCAAATATGTGAGCATATTATAGGAATCGATAATAGTTTGTGAGTCTGTCTGTTTTCTTTTATCAGATTTTCCATAAAACAAGTAATTTGTTTGTTTTTCACTGTTTTAGGTAGCCTGCCCTATGAATACAAGATTGTGATAGCAGGAAATCATGAATTGACCTTTGACCAGGAATTCATGGCTGACTTAATCAAGCAGGACTTTTACTATTTCCCCTCTGTTTCTAAGCTGAAGCCAGAGAGCTATGAAAATGTACAGTCTCTTCTAACAAACTGCATCTATCTTCAAGACTCTGAAGTGACGGTGAGGGGATTCAGAATATATGGCTCCCCTTGGTAAGCAGGTTTTTAAGCATACATAAATAAAACATTGTCGATTGCTATCGTATGAGCCATTTCGTATGCATCAGCTATGTTTGGATTGCTGCGTTAGGAAGAAAAGTAATGCTCAGTTTGATAAAGTTTTTATATTTTCTGGTAACGAATCATTACTGTGACAAAATAATGTTCTATAGGTATTGTTAACCAAATAATGATGGGAAAAAGATAGTATGCTCTTTAAATTCTCAGCCAGGAACAGTTCTCTAACATAGTCCATGTAGGGTTTTTTTGTGGCATGAAATATGTTTTCTATACTTAGTGAGTTTATATAATTACAGGTTAATTTTATTGCAAGGGTACATTCTTTTGACAATTTCCATCCTACAGGTAGTATTTAAGGTTCATTAGTGTATACAGTAGTCATTTAACACAGCAAGCTTGTTTCAGTATTTGTTTAGGCTTTTTTTTTTAATATCCCTCAGAATCTTACTTTCTTTTATACAGTAATAGCTTTCCTCAAGGTATAGTTGAGCTTCTAAACTAAAGTCAACAAATCAGTGGCAACCTAGTATTTCATGGATTTTGCTCTACTGCATAGAGTCAACACTTACACCTCCTTGACAGTATTGGAGACAGATGGGCTTTGGCTTCCTGACCTCCACCTTGGACCTCGTATGTGCTGCTTCTGTGTCTCTTACTTATGTTACATTACTACTATGTTATTTCTGCTAACAGGACTGTAAATTGGGTCTTTCATGAGCATTTGGTATACATTTAAAATAAGTAAGAATTTATTTTAAAAGGCAGGTTTTTAAGGGATTCTGTTATTCTTCCTTTTAAAATCACATCAGACTGGAATGTAGCAAACAAGTTGTCAAACCTGATGCATATACCCCAATGTGAATTTTCAGTGTGAATAAACTGTGAAATCTCTTGGATTTTTTTTAAAATGAAAATTGGCATTTTCCCATTTGGTTACTTGAGATGGGTGTTAATTTTCTCAGAGTTTATTATTCTACATTTGTCTACATTAAATAGCTTCCCTCTTAAATGCACCCTTCTCTCTCTCCCTCTTAGATCTCCAGATCTTTCTGGGTTTTTTTCAACCTACCCACCTGCTGTGTTGTAGTTCATCTTCCTTTTGTGTCTACTCTGTATTCAATCAATGTACAATTTACTTCATTTTCCAAATTATTAGGGAAGATATTAGATGGTATCAGTCCCAATATTAACTTCTGAGAAATGCCACTTGGCATCTCTTCCCATTTTGATGTTCAACTGTAAATACTGTAATTATGCTCTGTTTACAATATGTCTGGCAACTTCATATCTTCATCGCAATATTCGTAACCAGGCACCATATTTCCAGTGTCAGTAATAATTTTCCAGGCAGTAAAGTACCAAAAGTCTCATTAAAGTCTAGATAAATTAAATTAAAGCAAAACACTATCTATAAAGTAGCACTAAGTAGAGGCTAAAGGAAACCATTTGAACTTTCTGTGTATGATTAGATCTGTAAAAATCTGTTGAGAAAACTTTTGTCTACCCACTAACCCATAAATAATGTTTCTGTAAAATGAGATCTGCCGCATTCCCTTTGTGTGCTCATCGTGTCATTTTGCACAAGTTGTCTAAGCTATCTGGCATGACCTATTCTTCATGAAAAAAGATTGCTTTCCATCTTGTATGCATCTTCAGGTTATATCTAAACTTCCACACTACATGTTTCACAGTGTTGCTAACTCATCTCCCACCCCCTTATGGTCCTGGAAGATGAGTGTTGTAAGGTCCTTTGAAGATCTTTGCTTACTCCATATGGGAGAAAGTCTTGATGAAAGTCTTCCAGCCAAACTGGGTTTTTTTGCTTGTTATTATGCAATGCTGAATGAAGTTTCCATGCTAATTGATGTCATGTCCAGTGGAAACAGCAACAACAATAGTAGCAATAATAAGTCGCTCTTCATTAGTCTATCAGAACAGCAGATGCAGAAATAACAAAGTCACATCAGCCAGCCCACCAGTCAGAAAACTTAGGAAGAGAAGCAGCTATTTTGTGTGGGTTAAACTAGCTGCCTGCTAGATTGAAAGCTGTAGTACAAGTCTGTGCCTACTGATCACTACTGTTCTTTAGCATTTCTTTTGTTTCTATACTTCATTCACCCTGAAGAGAGAGGTTTGTCGTAGCCTCTCTGGGAAATCGGTCTCAGTTTCTTTCTACATCATAGTAATGTAATCTCTAAAAAACTACAGAACTTTGGTCAACTTTGCATGGTGAATCTTTTTTTGCCCTTGCATCATGAAGCCAGTCCTTTAGAAAATGCTTATGAACCTAGTCAAGACTTCAAAATTTAGAATTCTTTAAGATCTCAGAACTCAATAAGAAAGCTAAATTTCATGCAGTTGCTTGTTTAGTATCCTAAAATAATTTTCTTTTCCAGCCTTGAAAATATGCATCTAGCTTTTTCAATGGATTTGTTTAATTGGAGAACTCCCAATGACAGTTTATGTTTGTTGTCCATACATGACTATTTAATGAGAAGGTGAGCTATCTAGAAATTGAAAGTCTGGGGCCTCAGATCCTGCCTTTCCATTTCTGGTTATAGCCCTGACCTTCTGTCTTGCTTCACCCTTTGTAAAAATAAGTACAAGCTAGAGATATCCCTCCTTTATAAAACAGGTTAATCAATAGTTGCAAAGTACTTTGAGAACACTGGAGTAAGGTCTGAGTGAATGCCAACCAGCATTAACTTGGTGTGTTTACCTGTAGCTGTCTGCGTTTTTATGAGACCTGTACACAATTAGATTGTACTTCTGCTTAAGACATTTTAGTTGCAAAGTAAACCATGAGAGCTTGGGTGGTTTACATAACATGCCAGTCTCTAAGGCCTTTTAAATACATACCATTTGTGTGTGGTTAAATATTTGCAATAGCACTTGGGTATTTTGACCTCTATTATTATCTAAAACTCAGTGGTTATTTTTAATTGCATAGAAGAAATGGGACACTGCTCTGTCTCAGAAACCAATGCTCTAACTCCCCTGGGCTCCAAGGGCAAGATTTCAAGTGCCAGATTGAGCCTCTACTCACTAACGAAAATTTAACTGCCTTAAACGTTAATTATGCTAGTAGTATCATCAAGCAGGGAGCAGCCATTTTGAAATGCAAGCTGCAAAGCACAAAATCTGCTATTTAGGAATTAGTATTTGCAACACTGGTATCTCGGACCACGGATTATCAGTATAGGTGATGAGGGAGAGGAGTATAAAAATATTAGATGCTTCATGAGAAACTTGGGAATACCAAGATGTTAAATGTGTCCAGAGCAATCTTGAATTTTAAGGGTGGCTATGTTTGGCCTAGGGGGCTAGTGCTTTTGACAGTGCACCATACAGTGTTGGTTGCCAGACCTGGATGAGCAGGGCATCAGTAAGAATGCAACATGCTTCCTTCTAGTGTGGCCCAGACGCTGGGAACCATTGGGTTTTTTTCCCATGTAAAGCCTGGATACCGTGATGTTTTTCATAAAAAGCTAGGCACAGGAAGATGCATTCTGGTTTCATACCAGCAAAACCCAGGACATGGCCAGAACATATTCACAGACCTGGATGCAATCTTGTGTGGAGAATAGCCATAGTTGCTATGATGTAAAGCAAGGACTGGTTCCTCAATAGCATTTATTGTAAATTGGAAAGCTTCTGGTTGGAAAGTACTTTTAAACACCCTAATTTATTTTGGACTGCTGTGAGAAAAGTCAAACTGGCAGATAGAATAACCCAAATAATTCTGTATAATAATTCTATATAATGTACTTTTGACTGCTAAGCCTTCCCAAAGATGAAGCCATTTTCCAGATGGGTTTAATCTGTTTTTCAGTAACATACAAAATCATAACATAGAAGTAAAAATACAGCAAGCAGGAACACCAGAGTGGTGGGAGAGAATCAATCCTTAGGTGTTTTCAAGACTTGGCTAGACAGTTGTGGCTGACAAGATCTAGTGGTGGTGACTGGTAGGGAGTGGTAGGTTGGACTAAAGATCTCCAAAGGTCCCTTTTGAGCAATGTTTCTGTGATTCTGTCAGTCCCACTATGGAGCTAGAGCTAGGTGTCAGTGTTCAGAGCTGAAATGAACAGGTATCAGCAAAGTCCTTACAACAGGGAGCTTTGCCGTTGATATCAAACTCTCTACAAGCAGTAGATGGTCCCAACAGGTGGTTTGGAAGTCAGGAAGCCGAGATAACAGTAGAAATTTGAATTTGGGTTTGAAGCAGGTCTTTTCTGTGTCATCAGACTGGGTATTATCTCTATGACGACGTCATTCATGGAACCATATTAATAAATGATCAGTGAGTATTTCAGTTGTAGATGTTCAGCCTTCTATTATAGTTCATTACCCCCACAATGTGTTATTATTTTGCAGGTAAGTGTTTTAGTGTTAGCTACAGCTGGAATGAAGATAGGCTATACAATCCACTTATGCCTCTGTGCTGCTAAAGATTTTAATTGCACAATTACACCCTGTGTTTGCACAAAAAAACGTGATGCATTTGGTGCACAAGATCTGCTATGCTTGCTGAATGAGTCAACTATATTTATTCCTTTTGTAGTCATTATTCAGAATTGCCATGTAAAAATAAATGTCTATAAAAGTACATGTACATTTTTGTATCAACGTGCGAAAACCTCTCTGAGGTTCATACTTTCATGTGTGATCCTGAGTGTTGCTACATCTGCTTCTCAGCTGCACAAGGTTCCAGTAATGGACTCTGCCCTACTACGTGTTTTTTCCATTGAGTTTTACAACTCAATGGGTAAGTAACTTGGTTCTCTGTTGTCCTGTTGCATGTAATAACTAATGATAAGACCTGAAGACTAATGAATTGACCCCTGATCAACAGTCAGAAGCTGTTTGTGTCTGGCAAAGGTTATACTGGCTGTTCCCCCAATGTCTAATATTGCACCCCTGCCTCAAATTTATAGAAAAGATGTGCATCTGCAGAAGAACAGGTATTCTGT